CTGGTGTCCATAGGATCCGTTTCGCCATTGTTCACTTTCTATTCAGTTTCTTGCTACTTTGCATGAGTAGATGTATTTTTACTTCTCAGCGAAATCTTGAGCATTTGATAAATGACACCTACATAGAATGCAAGGTGCTGGTGGTCTTGCAAAACCCTAGATGCTGCGGAGCTTTTGTAAGGTTGGGTACAAATTTCTGACACCTAGACGACGGCTAATGTCATTGACATTCATGCATGCTAAAGGGATAGCCTCAGACAAAGTAAGAGCAATTTATCTACGAAAATCGCTTTTGATTTGCAAATTCATCATTTATGGGTTATTAATATCACGTTTCTACTCATACCTCAGCCACATCTCAGTGCTCGTGCCTTCACTTTGGCCCTTGAAATTCTCTCACCCATCAAAGGCTTTGACTCTGGGTGGACTTTAGCTCTCGACCATGTGAATGAAAATCTCGCACGTCAACAGCTTCTGCTAAACCAACCTCGGGAGGCGCTTCAGTCTTTGTGGCACCTCCTTTCTCCGCACAGCAATCAGTTGGAGGCTGCACAGAGTCGATTTTTGCAAGAATTTCTCAACATCCTCAATACCGTTTGTTGTGTCTCCATAACTCTCGGGCACATAAAACGTCAGATTAATGACAAACTTTTTATCACCTTTGCAGGTGAACTCATCCGGGGAGGGTAGCAGGGAGTGGCTGGAGTTGGGTCTTCCGGTTTTTGAAAAACATCATATCAAAGTGATGTTAGGAACGCCCGTCCGTAAAACGGATGGTGAGTGTCTACTTGTAAAACATATTTCGAGGGGTGGCCGTATACTTAACCTTTGTCTTTCAATATTGAAGAATCGAATGATCGGTAACGAAAGTTCGCGAATATTACAGGAAACTGCACAATGCGGTCACATAGAACAAACTCTGAACTTTGCTTACCCTCAGCTGTCACGCGCAGGCACTGTGGGTATTGGACTCATGTCGGATAGATTAAATCATGCAATTTCGGTGCTATTTTTAGCCAAGCCCATCTGGATTTGCCAATTCAGGGATTTTAGGAGTACAACTAAATAAAATGATTTTGTTTATGACTGTTACGTATCAACAGTACTTTTCTTAACTCAGATGACTGCATGGTGGAAGCCCGTGGTACCGCTTTTTCGGACAATGAAAACGACGACCCCGAAGATGTGCGCACATTCTCCACTCATCGATCTTCTCTCCCTAATAACTTCGCCACCTTAATCTTCCCCTCCCTTACCTCATCAACTGACATTCCTGCTTGGATGGTGTTAACGGATGTGCCATTCGTGGAAGGTAGGTCTAACCAATGTTATCATCGCCATTTTCATCTTGATTTTGGCGTTTGATTCTTCTTCTAGAGAGGCAGGATGTTGGTGTCGATCGTATGAAACGACCCGGTGAAGAGTTTACCCGCTTCCTCTATTCGCGTCCGTCATATTCTCTGCCACGACAGGCAGTTTTCCGTCGGCTGAAAGCACTATTAAGTCTACATATTGGCAGAGAATTGTGCCACGACACAGATGATGGTGATCTCATTGTAGTGATGGCTCAGTCGGTGAATGGGGAGAAGAAAAAGAAAAAAATGCAGTGGCATAGTATTCCCGTTGGTGGTAAGCCTGAATATTTTCTGTCCTACTTACATTTTATAAGTAGAGTGACTTTTTTTCGGCACAAATGGCCTTTTTGGTAGCTCATTGGCTCGCTTAATCAATCTAGCCCCGGGGGCATTATTAGAGTCAAGGATTGTTGCCTTCTGGATAATTATGACGCCTTTATGATCGTCCTGCCAAAGTCAGTAGCCTTGCCGCCTCCTTTTTAGAGCAATTGACAGT